ATTAAAGTAGATAGAATAGACCAAATTCACTGAGATAAATGGAGCTATGATAATCAAAGGAAAAGTTTCCTAGAAAGCAGAATTTTTATCTTTTGCTTCTTTACGTGTCCATTATAGGACCTTGAACAAATTTTCCAAAACAGCAACAGCATTACTCACAAGCTTTGAGAGATACAGTGCCACATCGAAAACTCAAAAATGAAGAATAACCTACCAAAGAAACCTCACATCATAGCATTATTCATAGTACTTTAGTATTTTCATTCAACAAATTAAAAGGTTTCTCAAAAGCATGGAGCTGCCATACCTGCCATAAACATGCAGATATAAGAAAATTTTAACAAATTGGGGCAAGGCCATGTGACTGATATCCAAAACGCAGTGTATAACATTAAAAGGAAGCAACGAGAATGTTCATTGGTATTAAAAAGCAGACAATAGTAGTTCAGGGAAAAGATTCACCTTTTGAATATCTTGATTACGCTGATTTGCATGTTTATGAAGCCTGCTAAATTTGGAGTCAAGCTCAGTATACTTCTCCTCACGCTCCTTTATTTCTCGTTCCAACTTCTGTTGTGCTACACAAGGGATCAAATGTATATATTCAGACTTAGAGGAAACCTCTTATGATACCCAGTATCTTTATTAAAAGAATGTACAATCACAGTAAAGATACATTAACATAATCTCCTAAAAGCAAACAACATCTTGCCTGCCAACCCAGTCCTAAAAAACAAGACTTTTCATATACAATTTTTTTCCTTTCTAAATTTAAGCAGAATGATCAAGGTTACATGGATCCATAATGAACACAGCTCAGCACTAACGTGAGATGGAAAGTATCTAACCTCAGCAAGCTTGTCCGTGAGTTCTTGAGTTCTTGCATCTGCCTCCAAGTGGGCCTCTTAAAAGTGCTTTAAAGCCTCTTCTGCTGCAAGTCGTGTTTGTTTTTCTACACAAAGCTTCTTGCTCAAAGACTCTATCTTTTCATGTAGTTCTTTTACACCTTCTGAATCCCCACTATCCTGTCCAACTCCATTTTTTTTTATGGGAAGACCCATCACATTCTTCTGATTGATGACCTTTCACGGCCTCAAGCTGGGACTTCAAGAATTCATTCTGAAACTTCTGTTCAGTCACCATTAGTAAAAGCTGATCATGGATGTCCTCAGAAGACGGGTTTCCACCAAACAATCCCTTTTTTTTCTTTAGCAACACTTGCTCTTGTGTCGGAAAACTCTTTCTTAGGCTGCATCGAATCATCCCCCTCACTTTCTGGAACTTGAACTACTTCACCTCCTTCTTCACACATTATTCCTTCACCTCAATCACTAACCAGAACTGCAACACAAAAATCATATATGCTCAGAAGCTTAAGCTATCAGTTAACTAAATAACAAAAACTGAACCCAGATTTCGATTCTCCAATTGCAATTTACAGTAATTAAACTGTAGGAAACGAGATGTGCCTCAGACGGGAATTCAAAACAATTTGATGAAGAAATAACAGAAAGAAACTGCACCTTGTATTTCCCGGCGACCGGACATCTATCAGCTTCCCACCCAAATTAAACAGAAAAACTTTCAAGATTGGGGAAGAGAAAAATGCCGCCTTTTCTTACCAGGCTGGCACCGGCTACCACCATTCTCCCCTGATTCCGATTCTAACGGTAGAGGATGATGAACTTCCATGGTCCAGGGGAATTCTGCAATTGGAGAAGGGTGTTTTAGTAATTAGATTTTTCTCTTTCTTTTGAGCTGGGAAGGCCGTTTGGCAGGCCCGATTCTGTCATCAATTTCTGTTTTGGGCTTTAACTAAGGAGCTAGCGTAGTGTAGGCCCAGAGGGTATGAACTTCCATAGTCCAGAGGAATTCTGCAATTGGAGAAGGGTTTTTTCTTCTTTTTCTTTTGGGCTGGGAAGGCCGTATGACAGGCCCGAATCTGTCATCAATTTCGGCTTGGGCTTCCATGATGCGTTAGGTTTATAGTTTCTTATGAAAAACTATTACTTTTTTTTTTAATCTTAAAATAATGATAATTTTTCAATTTTAAATTTATTTTTATTTTTTTAAATAAACAAATATTTTTTATTTTAATCCTATTAATATCTATTTATTTTAATTAATTATTCTATTACAAAAGTTTCACTTTATATTTTAATTTTTTAAAGAATAATAAAAATAAATATATATAAATTGTCTCTAAATAAAAAAATAAAAAATAATAATTATTTTCAAAAGAAAGGAATAATATTTTTAAATTTAACTATTTAATCCAACATTTATAATCTTGTGATTAATGACACATATTTAACTATATTAGATTTTGTATGATTAAAAAATTAATTAAACTTATTAGATTAATTTAAAAATTAATATATACTATCTATATAAATAAAATTTTAAATTTAACTATTTAAAAATATTAT